TGGGAAATATTCTATTTTGTACGCAGAGCTACCGAGCCTCAGAGTTTCCTGCTGAGGACATGGCGTTACTCCACTGAGCAAAATAGGGCAGATGTTTCAGAGGATTTCAGAAAAGCCGGGAGAAATTAGATGACTGCCAGGTCTGCACCAGACACGTTCATACAACCATCTCATGTTGACAGCTGCTCTGAGATGCTGACATCATTGGTTGTACTTTCCAAGGGAGGAAGCTAGAGCACAGGGAAGTGAGTGCCTTGCACGAGGGTGTCCCCCTGTAAATGACAGCTGGAGTACACACTCAGGCCCTTCTGGCCCTACAGCAGTGACACTGCCTTTCAGTGCACTGCTTGATGCTGAAGGGAAGAAGTGTGGCTCATAGTTCGGACCTGGATGGGCAGGCTGACTAGACTATGGGTGGGGCATTGATGAGGATGAGGACTTGGACTGGGTGAAGGGGGTGGAGGGAGTTCTGGTAACTGACAATACAATGACATCCGGAGAGTAAGAGGTGAGAATCCTGTTAATCTCATAGCAGGTAAGTAGGAACAGTGCGGTAAGGGCAGGATTGCAATCTCTAGAAAGACTGAGGAGGAAATGACGAGGCAGACCCATAGCCATTGCGGACAGAGGCCATGGAGGCATTGCCTCCGCATCAAAGGGATCAAAAGGTCAAGGTGGAGATCCACAGGCAGGGCTTTTGTCACAAGAAATATAATGATGGCTATGACTAGCATCAGGTCAGAGCAAGACCAGCACCAGCCTGACTTGGTTCCAAGTCCTTACTGTCAGGCACTGTTCTAGTTATCATGGAAATAGCAGTCAACAAAATCGATGAAGTCCCTGCCCTTAGAGAGATAGAGTCAGTGAGAGACAATTAAGTAAATAAACAAGGAAATGCATATCAAATGATGACAAATACAACAGAAAACAATTCAGCTGAGTAACGGGGATGGGATAGTAATGTTGGTGCTGGTGGTGCCTGCTATTTCACATAAGGTAGTCGGGAAGGACCACTTACCCTGGGACATTTGAGCAGGGAAAGGTGAGGGAGTAAGCTCTGTGAATATTTGGGAGAAGAACTTTATAAGCAGAAGGCAGAGCAATTTAAAAAACCCTGAGGCAAAGGGTACTTGGGGCATTGGAGGAAAAAGTGAAGAGCTTTGTTTCCCAGGTCAGGGTCCCCAGGAAACAGTTTCAGAGGTAGTGATTAGCATATAAGATGTTTATGAGGGCGTGCTCTTGGGATCATCCTGGGGAAGGGAGTGGAGAGGAAGGAAGCAAGACTGCCTCAGACAACCCCGGAGGAGTTCGGAAGGTAGGATGACCCTTCGGAGCTGTCCGCACAGGGGAGAGGGGGCTGGGACTTGCCCCCACTTGTCATTCAGCTGTGGCTGTCATGGGAAAAGGGTGAGATAAGATGCTGGGGAAGGCAGATTCACTTGACTGAGGTCCTTCTCAGTACCTGAAGGCTGCCAGCCGGCAGCACTCCCAGCAGAACCTCAGTTCCTGAGCGGTGATCCAGGCAGCGTCTCTCACTATCCACTGCATGCTGGTGTGATTGAAGCAGAGTGACAGAAAATGGGCTCAGAGAGGCATCCAGAGGCCAGGCTGTGCAAGAAAAGAGTTGAGACAGGGAATATAAAAATGCAGTCACTTTAACCAAGCTGCTAAAACTATTAACATTATGAAGTTTGAAGTATGAGGAAACAATTCTATTCTTGTTTTAACTAGGCTGGGAACTTAAACTTTTAAATTAAAAATTTTTTTCAATTACAGTTGAAATACAATATCATATTAGTTTCAGGTATACAATATAATGACTAGACATTTATATAACTTACCAAGTGATCATCCTGGTAAGTGTAGTAACTATCTGACACCATACATAGTTATTACATTATAGACAATATTCCCTATGCTATATTTTACATCCTGTGACTGTTTTTATAACTGGCAACCATCAGTTTGTTTTCTGTATCTATGAGTTTATTTCTGTCTTGTTTGTTTACTTTGTTGTGTAGATTCCATCTCTGGGCATTTATCCAAAGAAATCCAAAACACTAATTTGAAAAGATATATACACCCATGTTCATGGCAGCATTATTTACAATACCAAGATATGGAAGCAACCTACATATCCATAATGACTGGATAAAGAAGATATAGTACATATATGTAATGGAATATGACTCAGCCATAAAAAAGACTGAAATCTTGCCATCTGCAACAACATAGATGGACCTTGAGGGTATTGTGCTAAGTGAAGTAAGTCAAGCAGAGGAAGTTAAACTTTTGAACTTTCCACTCTTGCATCAATGCCTGGATATACATCAGTTTGTGGTGTTTCAACAGCTGGGCATACACAAGACCTCCAGATAACCTTCCAATTACCCCGTGAAGGACTGACATATCCAAACCACTTGAGGTCCATTGTCCAGACTACCAGACATGACCAGACCTCCTGGCTTCCTGACTGCATGACATATGACTGATAGCCACCCTGGATCAATGCTAGGGCTAAGAATGCAGAACTGATATTCTCAAGAGTGTACTTTTTACTATAAGAGCTCTTAACTTTTCTTTCTACTTTGGAATACTTCTGGGATTTTTGCCTACCTGTGCTCCCAGTTTGCAAACGTTAAGACTCCTGAATAAATCTGTATCATTTATTTCTAGTCAAAGCCTCCAGACTCTTTTTGAGCTCTTCCAACATAGGCCTTGGTAAAGAGTTGGGCTTTTGTTCCGCTTGTGGTAGGAAGTTGTTAATGATTTTGAGAAAGGAATGCTCAGCTCTAACTTTTGTTTTAATCTGATCACTCTGGCAGATAAGTGGAATAGACGATAGATGAAGAAGGTGGGCAAAGGGAAGAGTTGTTAGGAGATATTTGTAATAAAGGGGCTATGATGGTTTAGAGCAGATGAAACTGTTTGTGATTGTGAAAACTTGTTGGATTCTGGATATTTTTGAAAGCAGAGCCAATGGGATTTGCTGATGGATTCACTGGACGTGGAATGCGAGAGAAAGTAAAGACAGGTACAACTCCAGTGTCCCTCAGGAGTAACTGAAGGGATGGAGTCACCATTTACTGGTATGAAGAAACCTGTGTCTATTAGTTTCTTAATGCTGCTGTAACAAATTACCACAAATTTAGTGGCTTAAAGCAGCATGAATTTACCATAGTCTCTTGCAGTTCTGGAGATAAGAAGTCTAAAGTTAAGGAGTGGCCAGGGTTACATTTCTTCTGGAGGCATCAGGGGAGAATCTGTTTCTTTGCCTTTTCTATCTTCTAGAGGCCGCCTGCCTTCCTTGGCTCACGGACCTTTCCTCCACCTCCCAAGTGCATCATCTCAACTTCTGGTTCTGTTTTCACATATTTTTCTCTCTCTGACTCTGATCCTCCTGCCTCGACCTTAGAAGGACCCTTGTGATCACTTTGCACCCACCCAGGATAATCTCCCCATCTTTAGATCCTTAACTGAATCACATCTGCCAAGTCCCTTTGGCCATGTAAGGTAACTTATTCAGGGGTTCTGGGGTTAAGGACATGGACGTATTTGGCAGGCCATTATTCACACTGTGGAAGGAGCCAGTTTTGCAAGGTGGAATCAGAGCTCAATTGTAAACATATTAAATTTGAGAGATCTTGTTAAATATCCAAGTCGGCAGTTGAGTAAATAAACCTGGAGTTCAGAGGAGAAGTCCCAACTGAAATATGAACTTGGTGGTAGCTATCACGATATACCGAAAGCCGCATGAGCTAAGATATCACCTAGGGAGTAAATGCGGAGGGAAGAGCGAAGACCGAGGATTGAGTCTCAGAAAATTCCAGTGGTTGGGGGTTGGAGAGATGAGGAGCAACCAGCAAAGAAAAACAAAGGCAGGAGGAGAAGCGTGTGAGAGTGGTAGTCCACCAAGTAAAGAAAGAGTTCACAGTAGACGGAATAATCAGCAACTGAGAGGTCCAGTAAGATGAGACTGAGCAGTGCCCACTAGATTTGCCTGGTGACTTTGACAGGAGCAGTTTCAGAGCAGTGGTGATGTCAGAACCTATTTAATTTGGGTTCAAGAGATAATGGGAGGGGGAGAATTAGAGACAATTAGTATAAACAACTTTCTAAAGAGTTTTGTTAGAAAGAGAGCAAAGAAATGAGGCAGTAGCTGGAGTGGGTTTGGGATCAAGAGGCCTGTGAGCCAAGGGCCTTCCCAGGACAGCTCCGGTCCCGAGTCTGAGCTGGGTGGAGTCTCTGCGTGAGCACGAAGGAGGCCCAGCTGAAGGCTGGGGTTACAGGAAGGGGAGGCAAGAAAATCTTGGTGTGATAAGTGGGGGGAGGGAGCAAAGAGAAATACAGATGTGCCTCTTTTTATACAAGGAATGTCTTTCCACAGGTGCTGAGAAGCTGGCGGTAGATTGAATTTTTAAAATTTTGATCTTATAACTACAGTGGGGAAATTATCTAGAGGAAACTATGGTGATTTTTTTTTAATGTGAAAAAGTCTCTCCAAATATAACCATGTTATGAGAATTTTCATGTATCAGTTTTTCCAAAAACTGGGTACACCTATAATTACACTTCTGGTTCTCTGCTACAGCTAGAATGAAACTAAATATAACTACATATTTTCTTCAAAGGATACTAACCTCAAATGGCATGTAGTTTTAAGAAGCTAAAACATGGAGCAGGAAAGTTATTTTCCAGATGTCACTGAATAAGTCTGGCCTCATCTTGGTAATGAAGCACGAGAACAGGAATTCAGGCTGGTTGTCCTCAGGGCCCATATCAGGAGCCTTCAGCAGTGATCCTAAGACTTTAGGAGGGCTTTAAAAATTAAAAGACCAAGCCCTGCCCAGGTAGCTCAGTTGGCTAGAGTGCCATCCTGATATGCCAAGGCTGTGGGTTAGATCCCAGATCAGAGCACTTACCAAGGTTGCAGGTTCAATCCTTAGTCAGGGTACATACAGGAGTCAACCAATCAATGCTTTTTCTCTCACATCGATGTTTCTCTCTCTCTCTTTCCCTTCTTCTTGCTCTTTAAAATCAATAAGCATATCCTCAGGTGGGGATTTAAAAAAAAATCAACCAATGAATACATAAATAAGTGGAAAAACAAATTGATATTTCTTTCTCTTTCTCCCCTCCCTGCCCCCCCTCAAATCAATGAATAAAAATTTAAAATAAAATTTAAAAAAGCCCAGCATCTAATAATAGGCACAGGACCCTGGAGAGTAGCATGGGGCCTACGGACAGAAGAAGCATGCCTGCCGGGTAGATGGGCTGCCAGCTGTGGCTTACACTAAGGAGAAGGTGCCCATCCTGTGCTTGGAGGTTCAAGGCTGTGAAGTATCACCTTGAAAGGGACATGATGAGCAGGCCCTCTCAGGTCCTTTGACATGGTGTTTCCTCTGCTCGGGCTACTCGGCCCTTACCTCCACGCCTGGCTGATTCTTAACTCATCTTTCAGGTCTCATCTGAAATGTCACTTGGTAGGAAAGCCTTTCTGAACCCCGCAGCCAGCCTCATTCCACCTGAATCCAGTTATGGGGCCAATTAATTTGAAAGCTACAACGATGCTTTGTAAGCCATGCCAATTGTGTGGACGCTAAAGCCTGTGGTAATATAAGCTTCTGGGCTCTTCCAGGCCTCCTATGCTTAAGGACCATAATGTTTCTGCCTGAAGCACTCTTGCTACAGGGGTCTGCAGAACCTGCCCCTCCCTTCCTCTAGGTCTCTGCTACCCATCATCAGCAACAGCATTCCTGAACACTCTATCTAAAATAGCAAGTCCGCCCAAGCCATACCACGCCAACCCTCTTGCCTTGCTTTATGGTTTGCCATAGTCTCTGATGACACGATTTCCTTATTGGCCAACCTCCTCCTCCTTGCCATGAGGACAAGGAGTCTGTCTTGTTCACTGTTGTATTCCCAGAGCCTGAAAGATCACATGGCAAGTTTTAAGTGCTTGATAACTATTTGCTGAATGAATAAGTGGATCAATCAATGTCAGATGATGGGCAGGGAAGGCTGCCAAGGCACTGATCTGGCCCAGTCATATCCCAGCCCCAGGAAGCCCCAAGACCGCCCAGGGCTCCCAACTAGGAAAAACCTCCTGATTTCCTTCCATGTGCTTTTGCTTCTCTTTTTATCATGCAGATGCAGCCATCTGACCTCTCCATTTCTTGGTTTTGGTGCACCTGCAGTCCCAGTTCTCCTCTCACCTTGCACTGAGTCTGATTTCCTGGTTTCTCTTGGATTAATGCAAGTGCTCAACAAACAGCCTGTTCACACACCGCAGTCTCCAGCTGCTCCCCTCTGCCTCGAACGGCCCATTTGAGGTCAGTCCCACCTGTTTTGCGGAATAGAGCATCTCAACAGTGTTATACCCAGGTCCCGAAAAGACGCTCACCTGTTGGGTAGTTATGCTGGGGAAAATGTTTTAAGGAAACTTCTCACTCTCCTGACTAGTAATAACCAAAGACTTACCTGCAGAAAAATATTCACAATAATCCTTGAGAAACAGTTTGGGTTTTTTTGTTTTGTTTGTTTACTGCGGTATAATTGACATACAACATTATGTTAGTTTCAAGTGTACAACATAATGATTCAATATTTATATATATTGCAAAATGATCACCACAAGAAGTCTAGTTAACATCTGCTGCCATATATAGTTACAGATTATTTTTCTTGTGATGAGAAGCACTTTGATTTGTGTAGAAGTTGCCCTTAAAACTTCCCATCATTCTTGGAGCCCTTCCTGTGTAGGCTTTTAAATGACATATTTTCAAGAGTTTCTGACTAGAGTACCAGCAGAGAATGAACACATGGGAAGACTTCACAAGGCCACACATCATTTACTGTTTTAAATATTTGACTGGAATGGGGAAGGGTGAGAGAGAGAAACAACCAAAGGTGAGGGTGACTGCTTCTGAGGCTGCGCCATCAGAGCTGTTGGCTTCCCTCGCCATAATCTAATGATGGTCTAATGAGGACAGTCATTTGAATGCCCTCATCCAGAAACAAAGCATGGGCACCCAACTTCCGTGGGCCTGCTGAATTTTGACCACATTTCTCTTCTCCCAAAAGGCAAGCATGGCTAGGACACTTCAGACCCCACTGGCCAAAGACTTCCCATGGTTTGGATTTGCGGGACTGAGGCTGCTTCCCGGAATGCCAGGGACCACAGACTGCCTTCTCTCACTAAGGCCACAGCCACTGTTTGCTACCGCTTTAGGGCTAGGGCTCCATTACAAAATGCCAGCTGCCACCAAACCATCCTTTGTTTACTTTGTTGGAACAATGTCATTCACAGGCAGAAAACCAGGTGAAGACACTCTTGCACTTAATAAGGAATTAGGAAGTTTCACTCTTGCTCCTGTGGCTATTGTATCTCTATACTGGTAGACATCAGGAGCCTCCTTCCCAAAGGCCTTCCATACAGTGCTATTTAGTCAGCACTGGACTTTTCTCTGGGTCAGAGTCGTCTGAGGACACAAACTCTCTTTAGCCTTGTTGTACATCTAGAACATTCTAGGGTTCCAGGCACAGATAAATATTTGTTGAATGAATGAATGAATGAATGAATAAAAATTTAAGGATGGTCTTTGGAGACAGAGAGGGCTGCAGCTGACTAGCTGAGTGACTAGGAAATTTACAGAGCCCCTCTAAGCCTACTATCCCAGTATGTAAATGAGGATGACAATAGCATTTACTTCAAAGTCATTTTTAGAGATTAAACGAGATTGGACAACACAGGCTGGACACAGCATCTGGCAAATGGTAAAATCTCAATACACTATCCTTATTATTTCCTGTTTCACTTTCAACCCTATTCTCCTCATATGACCTCAAATTCCTATTTATAGTTCACGAACCAAACCAGAGAAACCTTCTGAATGTCTGGGGCACTGTGGTTCAATGTTATACAATTATTCCTTTTCAGTTCCTGTGACGTAAAAAGAGATTCAGCTAATACAGTTTTTCAGTATTAAAGTACTTTCTGGTTGAGAATGATTCCTTGCGTGTGAATTATTGATACCTACTGATAAACAAATTCACAGCAATATATTAAGGACTAATGATAGTATCTCCACTTGAGGGAGCAGTGTTAATGGTATAATTTGGGGCAGCTAAGTGTGAACTGTAAGGTAAATATTTTTTTAAGGCATTGCTATTTAAAATGTGGTCCCTGGACCAGCAGCATTGGGATTCCTTGGGGGTTTGTTAGAAATGCAGGCTCTCAGGCCCCACCAGACATACTGTATCAGGATCTGTATTTTAACAAGGTCCCCAGGGGGTTCGTATGCACTGTAGTTTGAGAAGCACTTGTGTAGGGGCTCATGAGATATTGGAATTGCCATTCAACCTATACAGGAAACTCCGTGTGTTAAAAACTGAAGAGGACAGATGGATGTAGTAAAACTTGTACAGGAGAGCACACATTTCCCACACGTTTCTGTTGCCCCTCCTCCCTACCTGTTCTAAAATCCATTAAGCCCCTCCCGCTACTCTGCACACACGCCTTGTCTAGCAATGCCACACAAAAGCACACCTCCACATACTATCAGTGGTGAATATTGTGAACCTATTTATCTATTTTTACATTTTTATGGCTCATTTGTTTAAAAAAAAAAGAAAAAAGAACAACCAATCAATGTTTCTCTCTCATATTGATGTGTGTGTCTCTCTGTCTCTCTCTCCTTTCCTCTTTCTCTAAAATCAATAAAAACATATCCTAGGGTGAGGATTAAAAATATAAATAAATAATAAATAAATAAATAAGCCTGTTGCTGATTGTCTCCAATTTTTATAATAAAGAAAATAAACTCAGTTGTTTTATCTTTTAAATAAATCATTAGGACTGTCCTCTCTGAGTTGGTCTAATTTTAAACAATTCTAATGCCTGCATTCTTTTACACATGCATTATGGCACAAACTGGTCAATCCTCCTCACCCTGATATCCATGAGAAAACTGAAAAAAAAAATCAGATCGGGCACTATCATACTACAATAACAAAAAGAGAAACCATTAAACACTTCTTTGGGTTTTTGTGCTGCCTGCAAAATCTGGAGGACAAGGGAGGGCTCACTGCTTTTCTGCATAGTAATAAGGGAGACTTGTAGTTCTTAAGAATAAAAACAGGGCCATGCTCAACGGAAGAACATTCCTTCCTTGATGTAGGATTCAACTGACCTGGGACCCCAAGGAAAATTGTCTCTGTAATGTATTTACTTCATAAATAACTCAAGGAACAAGCCATTCACAGCTCTTACGGGTAGGAAAAGAAATTAAAATTAGGGGACTCATATTCAGCTTCTACCATGGGAGCTGTATTAGAGTTCTCCAAAAAAACAGAACCAATAGGAGATTATATTCTATACAGGAGTGGGAAAAAGTAGGTTTATAGTTGTGAGTATACAAAACACAGTTTATTATTTTATTATTAATTAATTATTGTACTATTTTCCATACAAACAACTGTAAATCTACTTTGTTTTACCCTGTAGACATATAAAAAGATGCATTATAAGGAATTAGTTCACAAAATTATGGAGGCTGAGAAGTCCCAAGACCTGCGGTCAGCATCCTGGAGACTCAGGTAAGCCATGGTGTAAGTTCCAGTCACAAAACTGGCAGACTTGAGACCTCGTCTGAGTAAGAGGCAGGAAAAGACTGATGTCCCAGCTCAAGGCAGTCAGACAGAAAGAGGTCTCTCTTACTGACAGGAAAGCCAGCCTTTTTGTTCTCTTTAGGTGTTCAACTGATTAGATGAGGCCCGCCCATATTGGGGAGGGCAATTTGCTTTACTCAGTGTACCAATTCAAATGTTAATCTCATCTAAAAACACCCTCACAGATACACACAAAGTCTGACCAAATATCTGGGCACCCTGTGGCCCAGTCAACCTGACACATAAAATTAACCATCACAGGAGCACAGATGAGGCAAAGAAGCATGTCAGTTTAAAGTCACTACTTGAATTTTGGAAATGACAAGGAACCTTTGAAGGAAATCTCTTTTTATAAAAAAGAGTGTGACTGTCTGCCCGAGGGCTTTCCCTGGCTGCAGGAGCGTGTCCCATGCGCATGCTGGGTGGGCTGGAACACAGGGAGCTACTGCTCTGGCAGCGGCAGTCCTCTGCCAGTGATGACTGGAAATTGGTAAAGGAATACTCCAATTTCCTCACCTTTCACATCACAAGTCTGACGTATGTTCTATGGTAAACTCTTCCTCATAAATGTACCAATTCCATTCCTTATCTTACTTTCCCGTTTCCCTACCAGAGTTCTCTGAGATCACCTCCAGAATGAACTACTTGCACTCAAATCAGGTCCCAGGGTCTGTTTCTGGGGGAATACGATCTAAGCTAAGAGGATAAATTGTGCTTAACTCGTAAGTTCATTGTTATCAATACCTAGGTTTAAGGTTGGGATTCACACAACATGGTCCTCAAAAAATCCCTACTTGTACCTTTTTTTAATCCTTACCTGAGGATATGTTTATCAATTTTAAAGAGAGAGAGAGAGAGAAATATTGATGTGAGAGAGAAACATCAATTAGTTGCCTTCTGTACACGCCCTGTCCAGAGATCAAATCCTCAACCTAGGTATGTGCCCTGACCTGGAATTGAAGCTGCAACCTTTTGGTATATGGGACGACGCTCCAATTAACTGAGCCACCAGGCCAAGGCTAAAATTTTTGTTTAATACAAGTCAGGGTAGTAAATTATGGCTGGGAATAATAAAGACAAATCTCCAAAAGCATATTTTAAATCTAGCTCTCCAAGAATTATCAGAGATAGATTTCCAAAGGATACAAGCTTGTTATAAAAATATCTCAGGATACACAAGCACCCTCGCTGGTGTTGCTCATTTGTTTGGAGCATCGTCCTATAAACCAAAAGGTCGTATATTCAATTCCCCATCAGGGCACATGCCTGGGTTGTGGGTTTGGTCCTGGTTGGGTTGCATATGAGAAGCAACCAATCGATAGTTCTCTCTTACATCGATGTTCCTATCCCTCTCTCTCTCCCTTTTTTTGCCCTTACTCTAAAATCAATATGCATGTCCTCAGGTGAGGATAAATAAAAGAAGAAGAAGAACATGCAAAGATACAAGCCCTCATGCACAAGAGCCAGCAAACTCTGAGTGATATCTTTAAATGAAAAAAGTATTGATCTATAGATTCAATGCAATCTGTATCAAAATCTTACCACTTTTTTGAAGAAATTGACAAGCTCATTTCTAAAATCTATATAGAATTAAAAAGGACATAGAAAAGTAAAGAATTTTTGAAAAGGAAGAACAAAGTTGGAAGAATTGCAGTAACTGATTTCAGTTCTAAC